AATAGCCAATATTTTTCTGAGAGCACAGAGATTCTAAGCACATTAGAGAAATGTTTTTATATTAATATCCTTTGATACATAGAAAAGTGCATTTAGTGGTTAGAAATGACGAAGTTGGCAAACTACAATAGAACTAGTAGTGAAAAAAGAAATAGACAAGACCAGAAAAAAGATCTGGCTTTTAAGATGATGCTTACATCTAAAACTAGGGAACCTACTGAAAAAAAACTAAACAATCACCAACAGAAACATCTACTTTCACAGAAGAACCTCAAATTCTATTTTATAAAGCTTCAATAAAGTCAGTTTGAACACGATCAGAGCAACACTAAGTTTGTTTATCATCTCTAGCAGCAGATTCACTCTGATCATTATTATAGTTATTTATTTAAAGTATTGTGTTATTAGGATTTTAGAGCGGTGCAGTTGGTAGCACTGTTGCCTCGCAGCAAGAAGGTCGCCGGTTTGCGTCCTAGTGGGTCACCGGGATCTTTCTGCGTGGAGTTTGCATGTTCTCCCCATGCAGCGTGGGTTCTCTCCGGGTTCTCCGGCTTCTTCCCACACAGTCCAAAAAACATGCTGAGGTTAATTGGTGATTGGTGTCCAGGGTGTCCCCTGCCTTCGCCCTAAGTCGGCTGGGATAAGCTCCAGCTCCCCCGCGACCCTGGTGAGGGTTAAGCAGTGTAACTACTACATAAAATGAGCATTAATAACCTGAGATATGACCATCTCACTCCAGCTAAAAATGGGCAGCTCAGTAGTTGTAAAATGTTTCTGCTGCATGGCACATCTTGTCATTCACTGTGACATGAATGTGGAACAGAAAGAAAGAAACAGAAACTTATAACTTGATTTATAACTGAAGAGCAATCTAAGAAAAATAATCAATTTGCTGCTGTGCATTATTAAGGGGCAGTGTGGTGACAATGGTCTTTGTTCTAGAATGCTTCGAAGAAAATACCACACACACATTAAAGTAAAGAAAATAAAAGTATTTATTCCTCAAATTTGCAATATATTCTTACAAGAGTATTCAAACTTAAGTTATCCTAATCAAAATACATACTACAGTTCGAAATCTATGCGTGTTGTAGTCATTTTCCATTGTTTTATCACTTCTGTTACTTAAAAACATCTTCTGCTGTCTATTAGGTAACCAAAGTTTTCAGTAAGTCTAAAGCANGTACAACAACAGCAGTGTGTACATGTGTGTTCTGGTAAGTGATGTGTGTCGGTCCTGACCTGGTCCAGGATGGGAGCATCAGTTGGCAGAACAATGCGGTGCTGAATCAGTCCCACCCGGATTCTTCTGGGTGGCCTCAGCTGCTCCTGTACAGCATCAAATCTGTATCCTTTCAGCTCAAAGTCACGCTCTGAGGCAGCTTCCACAGCACAGGCCGGGAGGTCCAGCTTCCTGCAAGGGAGCACATACTTCATGAGTGTCCTTTAGGTTTAGCCCTTAAAGCTTGGGTTATTTTTTTAAATTTCTGCTTAAAAAACACCAAAATTCAGTCAATAACAACTCTACAACTATTAGTTCAAATTAGATAACCTTGCACTTTATAAGACACCTGAAAGAATTTCATTTAAGCGAGACAAAAAACACTCACAGTCAATGACCACTGACGTTCTTCAACCAATTCTAAACCTTCTCAGCTGCCACTCTATCAAATATGATGCAACGCATACCTGACAGTCTAATCGCTGGACAAGTTGTGCTTGGCAGCATTTGAAAAGTGGTGGTGAGTTGAGCTTTAACAGATACAGCCTGGTCCAAGAACAGGAAAAAAATGTTTTCCCTTCTAGCCAAGAAAAAAAAATCCACACTGATTAAAATATTTTTCAAAAAGATGTCACAATTGCTGGTTGCAGCTTCTCAAATGTTACCATTTGCTGCTTTCTTGGTCATCTCAGTAAACTGGATGTGGGGCATTTGGTTTGACAGTCATTTGATTATGTCACCTACAGCATTCATGAAGATATGTTTCACTACATTTTGACATTTTATTGGCGGATTGTAGACTTAAAAAACAAAACAAAACTGTAGATGTAGCTGTAACCTTAATAGTTTTCCTTCTTCATCTGTGCATTGTTCTCTGTTGTGTATAATTTTAAATGCAACATAAATAACTCAGTCAATGTTCAGCCAGTGTCTTATGTTTGCTTTAATTATCCTTAAGCTTCAAAAGATGCATCTACGGCTTCCACAGATTCCAACTGTGACAAACTGAATGGCTTGGACAGAGTTTAAAAAACCTCACACCTCCGTCTGTAAAGTCTCACAATTCACATTGCATGTCAGGATAAAAACCAAGTGATGAATTTGAACCCAACACTCACTATAATAGAGCGGGTGCTTCTAAGCTGCAGGGAGGCTGGTCAAAGTTGTCAAATACAGAGAGGTCCTTGAAAACCTGCTCTACAGTACACTGACCTGAACCTGGGGTGATGGTTAACCTTTTAGCGCAAGAACAGCATAACTTTCCCAAAATGCAAAGACACAATCCTGTGGAGACTCTCCCAAGATTCACATGGTCTTCTACCAAGCACTGAGTGAAGGATCTATTGCTGCTTATATAAATGACAGGTTTCTGTTTTGGATTTGTAATAAATTTACAAAAAAAATTAAAATGTGTTCACCTTGTTACTGTTGGTTGTTGAGTGTAAATTGATGTCAAATGGCAATTGTATCAATTTTCAATTTAAATTAAATTTATATCACATAGTGTGCAGAACTGAAGGGGTCAGTGTAAGTTCTGAATCCTTTGTACAGTTGTGAGGCCTGCTTGGACACACAAACCACATTTGTGATTAATGTTTTCTTCGGACAGGTTGAAGGTTGCGTGTAGAAGCCTGCAGCTCAAACCAAAGTCCACTCAGCAGAATAATAATTTACCAAGAACACATTCAACAGAAATAACAACATAAATACAAATAGTCAAGCCTTTATACGTCCAGTTCAGCGTATTTAAAAACAACGGACACAGTAAGCATGACAACTTACTTAGTTTCCTTCCCGAACAGGATCCGTCTGACCTCGGTCAGCTCGGCCTCTGGCAGGTGAGACTCCAGACATTTCTCCACGGATTCAAACTCACATGTAGACATTTCTGCAGTTTCCTCTGTTTGCAGCAGCAGCAGCAGCGCACTTCAGATTCTCCTGCTTACTGCCTGTTTGCACCTTTTATCTCGATCACTCCTTATATAGTCTGCAGTGCTTTCGAAAGACGAGCTTCAGTTGCAGAAACTGGTCATTTATTGACATGAGTTTAAAACCCTCCGTGAGGCTCAGTCCAGGGGCGGCGTTAGGCCTGAGTGTCCAAGGCTGCTGCCCCCACTGTTACATACAGAGCTCCTGCCTCCTGATCTCAGTCGTTTGTTTGTTTTCCTAGACAACGTCAAAATCTCGTAACTGCTCAGTACACCCAAAAGTAATCATATAAAAGTTTATTGGATCTTTGTAGGGATGCCATTAAAAAAAAAAAAACTATTTGAGTTCCACCAGAAATCTTTAAGGCACCATAAACTGTGCTCCAAAGAATTTAAGCAAAAGTAATTTTTTTAGGAATCATTTTCAAGATAGTTCTTTATGGACCCACCTGGTTGTGTTTTAACAGCAAGACTTTATAAGCAGTTTTATAGGTGCAATTATGAAGCAAGAATTTTTTGGGTCCATTCCTTTAAAACCTTTTTTTTTTTTGTACAAGACAAACCTTACATAGATTTTTGCAAAATACAATTGTAAAAGAGGGGATCAAAACACAGATTCATAGAAGAGCCATTAAAATAAATAAACATACATCAAAAATACAAAAAGCCTCATAAGAATGAAACACAAAATAGAAAACTAAACTTAATAGAACCTGAACATTGAGGTGTGTCTCCCTGATACACATCAACTTACCAAACAGAAAGAAAGTTCACATTAAACAAGATATGGTGATAGCATTGGAGGTAACATTATCTTCCAGTTGTGGACTGTTGTTCAGACAGAACAACATATTACAAGAATCACTGTTTTCTGATGTTTTTTAGAAATTCATTGATTAACTGATCAGATTGTGTGCCAATAAATCATTAATTACAATAATGCAGCTCTAATTTTTGCTGCCACCTGCCACCAAATAACTCTAATAAAAAATAAAGAATCATTAAATAGCCAATATTTTTCTGAGAGCACAGAGATTCTAAGCACATTAGAGAAATGTTTTTATATTAATATCCTTTGATACATGGAAAAGTGCATTTAGTGGTTATTAATGACGAAGTTGGCAAACTAATGCCATTGTTTTATCACTTCTGTTACTTAAAAACATCTTCTGCTGTCTATTAGGTAACCAAAGTTTTCAGTAAGTCTAAAGCAAAGCCACATGTCTTCATGCCACAGTTGTGTTTGATCAGTGTTTAATCTGTAATGTCATGCCTGCAATAACACTCAATCGTTAACAGACGTTATCTCAGGAACATGCTTGCAATTTCTGCAGAAGTCTAAATTGGGTGTTTCCAAACTTTGTGGTTGGAGCAGTTACCATCAGTCTATTTCGCAACTGTGATGGCATGATCAGAAAAAACAAGATAAGACATGACACTCACTTTTTATCCTTCATACAATGATTCTATTAAAGAAAGTTTCAACCATCTTCTACTAAAAACACTATTTATTTGACATTTGCTAAATAAAAGGAAACATATGACTACTAATTCCTCACATCTGAGTGAGTGTTATTGCAGAATACAGTTCATCTCTTTTATGTAACTTCATGAGGAAATGTAAAGAAATCAGACCTTAAGGTAGAAACTATTTGATTTGGTTTCTCATCTCTTTGCAGAGATGTTTTTGCTCCTTTGCATCTGTCCTCTTCTAGTCTTTCTGTCTGAATCCTTGAGGGGGTTTGACAGTTTCCTCAGCAGCTCTACAACACAAGCATGAATAAAGCAGATATCATAGGTTAGTGTGTCTTTGTAGTAACATTTTTTAAAATTGTAGATGACAGTTTGACCAGCAGGAGGCCTCAGAGTGCCAGTTAAAGTCCACTGCTTGGTCAGTCCTGTTTGGTTCAGTTTTTTGTTGTTGTTGTTGTTGTTGTTGTTGTTGTTGTTGTTGTTGTTATTGTTTTTCTTTGGTGTTCCTTTGGGTTTTTGTTACCTGTTAACTCAGGGTGACTCTGACTGTAGTTGTTTAGGAGGGAGACATATTTCCGTCCTCCAGCATCATCTCCTGGAGAAAAGCAAAGCCACCCATTTAATGCAGCTACAATCATCCATCCATCCATTATCTATACACTGCTAAATCCTCGCTAGGGTCGAGCCTATCCCAGCTGACTTAGGGCGAAGGTAGGGGACACCCTGGACAGGTCGCCAGTCTATCGCAGGGCTACATATAGAGACAGACAACCAAGCGCAGCTACAATGTAAGTCTTTCATTCATCTTAAAAAATTAGAATTGGGTCTGTAACATGATGTTCATTCATGGTTCCTCTGAAACATTAAAAAGCACCAGCATTCATTTGTTCTGTCACTTATCATTATATATCTAAATGTGGAATCAAATTATTTAAAGCCAGACATTGTTAACTCGATTAGACTGGACATTTATTCCTTTGAAGTTCTGTTGATGGACGGCGCAGATGGACTCACGGCAGACTCTCAGGAGGACGTAGTACTGTCTCTGTACCAGGACGCTGCTGGCAAGAGCCACGCTGTGCTGCCTCGCCTCCAGGTTCATCACTTTACCACTGCTGTCTATCAGGTCCACACAATCTACACAAAGAATTGTCAGTCTTTGAATGCTTGTTTTCTTTGACACAATCATCCAGGTGAAAGTAATAAAAGTATGTGTCAATCAACAGATGACGCCTGTTTCTAAAAGTTCTCAGACTCACATTAATTCAAGTTATTAATGCTATAGAAGGAACTGATGCTGATTTTCTGACAGACATCTCTATGGGAGGCTGGATATTGCAGCTACACTTAACTGATGAATGATAAAGGTCTCTTGCTACTATACGTTCAAGCCACTGCCAATACATGTAAAAATCTGTAAGTACCTTTGAAGTCCAGACAGCACCTCTCCTTTAAATGATGGATGAAGTTTATTAGCTTGCAGTTGAGATTGAACATTTCCATCTTGCCGTCTGCCAAAAAAACGATGTCAAAACACATGCACAAAAACAAAAATGTGTCCCTGTGTTGAACACACTGTTTATCCACTATTTACTGTCCACAAATTAAACATTTCGTGCCAGCCAGGCACATGAAAAACACAAAAAACATTTCCCAGAAACTGCTACTAACCTCCAAACAGGATAGTAACAAACATCTTCTGGTCCTGACTGCAGTTCAGCTCCACTGGTGCTGCCACTACTTGTAGTTGAAAGCATCTGTTTATTCCAAATAGTTCAGGGAGTCTTTGAAGAAGTTTGGACTGGGCCCCAAGAACAATAAAAGAGTTGTGTTCTGTACTTTTTCACACACACTAAGCTCTGAGAGAAGCTGTATGAAAAGGCCTGCATAATGTAGAGATTGTAAACACACACACACACACACACACACACACACTTTTGCATCCACCTAGTCTTCTCCTTTACAAAGCTGAGGACTTTTAAATGAGGTGACAAAAGACTACTGTTGCTTGTTTCCATGGCGTTTCTACACACAGACAGACCAGCACATTGGACTTTACTGCAGCTTTTTTACACAGTGATGTCAGAACTGAAAAACTGAAGTTTTATTGTTCCCTCTGTGTCTTGGAACTAACAAGGTAAATGGTCCAACACAATCTGCACTTTCTGTAATACTTGGAAAGGAGAGATTTAATCTACTTTTACAGGTATCTAAGAATGTGAAGCAATTTCCATGCTTTGATTGCTTTTTTTTTACTGTCCAAACAGATCGTAAGTTAAAAAAGGATATCTTGTGGACAGATTTTTATGTAAAATTCTTGAGATTAATTTTCCAAGAAAGTTCAAAGGATGAGATGTTTAGGTTCTCTCTCAAGTGCCTTGTTGCCCTTCTTCTGCTCCGTACAGCGCCAACAGTTTACATCACTGACTGTATGTACAATGGACAAACCCTCCATGACTCCACCCATAGGCCTCCTCAGCAGCAGCTTTGAAGCTTGGTGTAGTGCGCCCAACCATTGCCATCTTTGCAAGTACCTGACTTCAACTAAACCTACAATGATCAAAAAGGTGGCACATAAATGGATATGGACCCTTTTGTGTCTTGGCAATAGACTCACCTATGACCACACCCACTGTCACTCACACCCTTAATTATGCATAACTTTAAGTCTTAATACGATTTCAACAATGAGTTGTGAAAAAAATACCTATAAAAACTTTTGGAGCTGCAAGGTGGCTCGGTGGTTAGCACTGTTGCCTCGCAGCAAGAAGGTCGTCGGTTCGCGTCCCGGGGAGGACACCCGGGATCTTTCTGCGTGGAGTTTGCATGTTCTCCCCGTGCAGCGTGGGTTCTCTCTGGGTTTTCCGGCTTCCTCCCACAGTCCAAATCATGCTGAGGTTAATTGGTGATTCTAAATTGTCCGTAGGTGTGAATGTGAGTGTGCTTGGTTGTCTGTCTCTAAGTGTAGCCCTGTGATAGACTGATGACCTGTCCAGGGTGTCCCCTGCCTTCACCCTAAGTCAGCTGGGATAGATTCCAGCCCCCCATAGTGAGGATTAAGGTGTACAGATGATGGATGGATGGAAATTTTGGAGCCAGCCCGAAGTGGCCATTGGAGAAACTGCAGTGTTTGGCATTTAAATGGTGGTTTCAGTTTTCAGTCCCAATAACAGCCTGTGGACTGATTTCCATGAAAAGGGATGATTTTTTCCAGATAATTCAACATATGTGACATTTATGGTGCCTTTCCCTAAAGCTTCTCTTCCACTCGAGCAGCAACAGTGTGCAACATTAGCTATGTTGGAGTTAAAATGGAGTCTGCTAAAGTCAACAACTGGTATCGACCTTCTCTCAGCACAGCACAGACACAAGTTCTCCCCAAATCTCCATGTTTTGTTTGATGCTGTGCCAGCGCTGGAGAGTCAAATATAGTTTATAGTCAAACTGTAACAGCAGTGTGACTTTGTGTGTAACTGTCATTATGATGCCAGTCAGTCCCGTTCAGTCTCGTGTACGTTACATCACTGTTCTGGCCGATACCCAGGAGGCCTGCTTGTGCCAACTAACACACACCAGCAACAGGATGCTGACTGCAGTTAACCTAACATCCCCAGAATCATTAATAACTAAGATTTTCTGAATGTAACACAGAGATTGAAAGTTAATTCAGTTTGCAAGAAAATCAATTACGGCTAGTTACAACTGCAGTCACTATTAGCTTCATTCACAGTGTATTGTTATATTGAAGACACTATTGTGCTTAATCAGTAGCGATGTGGCTTAATCTGTTACTGGAACGTCTTAAAGCACCTACAATCAATTTTGTATCATAACTGGATTAACTGACAAACAATGTGACTGACCATTAACTGCGAAAATCAGCCTCAGAGCTGCAGCTTCCTCTTGCTTTGCTCAGCTTCATAGTGAGTTTCAGTCAGATGAGTCCCAAACTTACTGTCCCACTGTGCAGGATCTGCTCAGCACAGGCTCCATTAGCAACTAGCAAGTGAAAACATGGTCTTTTTAAGAGAGGGATGTGTAAATAACAGAATTTATAAAAGATGGAAGGAGGAATTGTCCCATTAATTGGTTTGTGAAATACCATTTTGAAGCCCCAAGCTTAGAACTTGGCCAGACATGACAAATGAGGAGTGTATCTCACTGAGAATGTGACAACATACAATATGGTAACAACCTGTCAATGACAAGGTAACCCTTCAATAAAGCATACTCTGCTTTATTGACTATTTTGCTATAAATGGGACCATGATTTACAAACTGAATGTCATGCAGTATTGAAGAAGGTAGAAAAGTAGCAAATGAGACCATAAACTCATTAGGAAAATATTTACTTAAGTAAAAAAACAAAAGGAGAAGTGGGGTCTTTTCTCACTTCTGTGCAATCTTTATTTCAACCAGAGGTGTCACCTCTGTAGGAAAGAAAGTAGGTTTAGAGTACTTCTGTACTTCACTTTTCCAACCAGGATTCCACCTCCATCTTTAATGCATGGCCTAAGGTAAATAAGCAAGTATCTGCTAACAAGTTCATCATGCCAACCTTAAATATGTCAACAATATGTTCACAATGTTTGCACTGCCTGTGAGTAGCTCAAAAATCTGACATTGCAGGTTTACTCTTGCATAAATGCACCAGAAACAAGTTGTAAACACAACTTAATGCCTTATAAAACTACCATGGGTTTTGTCAGAGCTTTTAAGTTGACGGCTGCTGCTTTCACTTTTGATATTAAGCTAAGCTAGTCTGCTGATTATAGTTAACATGAGGACAGAAGCATGGTATGAACCAAATAAACATATTTACACAAAATGACTTCTAAAATTTTTTAACAAAAAGCTAATCATCTGTCAAGCTTTAATAGCCTAAAATTTTTTGAAACATAACCTCAATATTACCCAGCTGATGAGACAAGATGCCACACAAGACAAGCAGCAAAGCACAAGGACCCAGGAGATCTCTGTGGTGAATCTTTAAAAAAGAACTACAGACCCCTGGGGACGCTTTCAGAAAGAAGTAGGCCCTGAGCCCTGTAACCTGAACTCACGGGGGAGTTTGCGATAAAAGCTGAGAAAATAAAGAAACCCAAAGATAGTTTGACAGCTTAACGAACCATTTCCCAGAATGAGCAGGCCAGGTCCCTGACTCAGTTGTATAGACTTCCAGATCTGATATGAAACATGACTCTGTCTGGTGAAGAGCCAATGGAAGCTGTTCTTACAGCTACTGAATAAGGACTGCGATCATTTTGTGGCCATTTCAGAATGTAAATACACGAGGTACACTTCAAAAAGGCAAAGGTATTTATTTAAAGACAAGTCTTTGTGCCAGTCTGCTTGTAAGTGCATGGAAGACAATAGCTGCGCTGGACTCAGGATAAACCCATCAGGAAAAATAAAAAGGTGATGAGACTGAGTATTTTTTTCAAGTTTAAAATGTAATTATTTACAACTTGCTTCAAATTATTTTCCATCATCTATCAAACTGTGTCTGCATTTGCAGTAATCTCACTGAAACAAGCACAAATTAAAGCCTCATTCTTTCACTGAGCAAACAAAAACACAAGGTTACATTTCAGCATTGCATCACCTCATTTCCAGCCTTTGCTTGAAAAACGTGAGAAGTATTACATTGCTATTGACACAAACAGGAACCACTCTGTACTGTCCTTTTTAGTCCACTCACAAATGGCATGGGCCCACAGGGAGCAATGGGGTTGGAAAAAAAAAAGAGAAAGTTACTCACACTGTGTTTAAAGAAAGATGGACATCCAGACAGGAAACCAGTAACACTTCATTTAATTCTTACAGGTCTAACAGGGTAAGACGTCCATCCCTTGTCTCCATTGGCTCTCTTTCTTCTCTCTTTGGTGGCAATTTTACTGGTCAAAGCAAAATCGTTCAGTGACTTTATTTATTGAGGCAGCCTTTTTTGATGTGTGTCCCTGCACCTTTCAGACCAGAGTGTCAGTCTGTTTCAACACTCTCTGTCATGTGGGTTGTTAAGAAGCAGCTCGTCCTACCCAAGCCGCCAGCAGTGCTTTTAGACTCTTATTGTGACTTAAAGTGTACTTAAATAGTGAAGACAAGTTATCTCGGTGACATTCATTGTTTGTTATCTGGTTACAGTCTGGATTTATTCTGATCCTGAGCTGATGCTGATATTTTACAGCAAAGTTCCTGAATTAGTGCATGACCCCTCGTGCGCATGCATCAAGACACCTTTGTCAGTTCACTACAGCAGCTCCTCCTGCTTGGCTTGCTGAACAGCAATGTGATGTGGGCTGAGCCGAGGTTCTGATCGCCTTTCTCTTCCAGGACTTCTGCTCCAGCACAGTCATGCTGTTGCACCGAGTACTGCAGATGATGGTCCAGGGGGGCTGGAGTCTGTCTGAGGGCTTTCAGTGGACACGTCTCCATCTTAGGACAGTGGGAGATAATGACTGACAGAGGGGTGTGGGATACTGCCACCATATCGGACCCTACAGGAGAGACGTGAGTCGGGCAGCGGCAAGAATTTTCATAGCTACTGTTGTTGCTGTGCTCTGTGAAAAGGTCAAAGCTGAGGCCATCAGCCTTCAGTCTAATGGAGTCTGTGATGCTGTTGTAAGTAGAGTTACGCTTACTGCTGCTGCTCTCAAACACCTCCTGCCGGCCCAAGATGTAGCGCCGGATAATCTTACGAAAGGTTTGCCGGAATTCCCGGATGCGGTAAGCGTAGATGAAGGGGTTGACTACAGAGTTGGCATGAGACAGGATAATGGCGACATTTATGACCCAGAGCGGAGAACGGTCACACTGAGGACAGAAGACGGTGAAGCAGTTAATGATGTGTAACGGCAGCCAGCAGACTGCAAACAGCCCCACAATGATGGCCAGGGACTTGGCAGCCTGGACCTCCTTCTGCAGCGTGGAGCGAGACTTCTCTCCATGAACCGCCTTCACTTCAATCAGCTTGAGCTGGTAGCGAGCTGCCATGAAGATACACAGGTAGATGGCCAGCATCAGCAGCAGGGGGATCAGAACACAGCCAAAAAAGTTGAAGTAAATCATATACTTCATGTTCACCACCGACTCAAACTTGCACTCCATCAGGCCCGGCGAACAGGTATTGTTGTCGCTCTGCTTCATCTGGTCAGGTGGGCAGGTACTGTTGCTGCTCTGAGACAGGTTGTGCCAGCCCATCATGGGAGTCAGACCGATGATGATTGATAAAACCCAGCAGATGGCGATGATGCCTCGAGCCCGCTGACCTGTTACCAAACTGTTGTACCTTAAGGGGGAGACAACAGAAACATCAATGTCACTTCTGTTGACCAGAGGGCTGGACTACGAAGGAAAACTGATACAGTCAGGCTTTCTTTGTGTAAACTGGTTAAACAAAACCTAAAGTCCCAAGCAGAAATAATGGTATCATGACGGTGGTTATCAACTTTCTTTGTTCGTTAGTTTTCTTTTTCAGGCTCTGTCCTCACTCCCAAAAAAAGGTGACATTTAAGGCATTCTTTTGGTTCTTTTTCTACATAAATGTGAGTCAAGAGGAACAGGTTGTTATAATGGAGAGCGATGACACCGATAGAAAAGTGCTTTTAATGTCATGTAACATTTCATCTTCTAAACTTTAAACTATAAATGCCATACATTTAAACATAATACTCAAGAAGTGCATTTATGTCTGACATTGTCTCATAATGAGGGATACATGGAAATTTTTTTGTTTTTGGACAAAATAAATGTGACTGATTCAATATTATGATAAACAGCAATAGGTTATTGAATGTTGTGTTCTATTAGCTGCATTACCAGAGACAGACTTAATAGCAAATCAGGACATAGAAGAAACACATTTATGCATCACCAGCTGAATGCATGTAAGTTTCCGTGGCAACGCAACTTCTCAGCTTCATTCAGTGGGATCACTAACTCACAGCTCAACGGGTTTGCAGATATAACATACTGCATCAGCTCAGAATCTGTATCAGGAAAAGAATTGTTTCAAGGGAGATGCGTCTTACAGTCGATTTAAATCCCAAACTCTGACCAGATCCTCCTCTGGAGCAGTGTTGTGCAGCATCAGTTACCATGGTGATCTAGCATGTTAAAAGAGAGCCACCTCTGTGACATTGAAAACTCAGATTTTAAGCTAAACATGCCTGCTAACACGTTAGTCTAGCTTTGTAGTACATTTCATTCAGCTGACACCCCAACTAAAATGATTTATTGAACGGTACAAAGCGTATTTAGCTCCATTTCATTTTGAATTTGCCCATCAGATAGCTCCGTGGAAGCACTTCTCGTCCCGGAACTCAAAGAGAAAAGGATAAACAAACAAAGTCTGTCAGGACTCCTCAAAGGAAGGAGTCTATTTTGAATCCGCCTGTAGCACAGTGTGGGAGAGCAGCTGAGATATTTGGCTTGTTTCAATCACATTCTTGAGATGTTAAAGTGCAAAGGTTAATGCTGCAAAAACAAGGCCCCCCCCATCAGCGATGCAAAAAAACAACGCCAAGGGAGCCTCACGTATCTTCAGCAGGAGGAGGAGGAGGAGGCTGTGCAAAAACGGGCTGCTCAAGTCCTCAAAACAGGCCGAGTAGCTCGATGCATCTCCGAGCTTCAACATTTCAGCATGATGAGGTCAGAGCCGGAGCTACGGCATCACTATCAGTCCGCAGGGCAGTCGGTGACAGGTTCTGTAGACGCACCGTCCGCGGCAAATGTAACCATTAAATCAAAGCTGACGTCTGACAGTGTTTTCACAGCAAAGTAATAAAATGAGATTACACAGGGGCTCTTGCAGTCTGTATAAGCAATTAGAGCAGTATTTATTTGATTGCTCCAGGGGGACACGGCCTCATGGGAGACACCATTTCTGGACACACTTATTCAGCCAAGACTTTCTGGTTCAAATGTCACGTCTTTACTCAGAGACAAAAATGAAATACGAAGTGTCTGCCTGGGACTACAAAATAGATTAGAAAAGAAAGACAAAAAGTCATGGGACATACAAAATGCTTTCTCTATGAAAGAATATTAAACAATGCCTTTTTGGGTCTTATTTTGTCTCCCAAAACATTTCGGCACCGCATTCCAATACGACTGCATTTATAAATAGTTCAGAAGAAGCAACAAATTGTCTTATTAATGACTAATAAACTCTCAACTACTGCTTTATAAATCAATTATTAATTAAATTAATTCTCAAACGTTTCAATTTTTGGTGTGCAACGTTGGAATATTCCCTTTGGTGTCTTCTATTTGGTATCAGTAGAGTTAAAATGTTAGTCAGGCTTTCCCTTTCTAACAACGTATCAATTCTGCAGTTTTAATAAATCACCAGGAAACATTTTTTATTCTCTTAACTCTCTTAACTCCAAAATGGATAAATATTAATTTGCAATTTATAAATAATCTATATAGCATTAATAAATGTCTTACTGACCATTAACACACACCTAAAAGTTATAAACCCTTTATAAATGATGTTTTTTTTTTTCATAGATAGTGGGATTAAACTTTTCGCAGTTTCATCTCCTACTTAATAATGAAATCCCTCAAGTTCTACCCTCTTCATCACTGACCTGAGCGGTATCTTGATTGCGATGTAGCGGTCTATAGCGATGGCCAACAGGCTGAAGATGGAGCTCTGTGTGAGAATCAGCACAAAGCAAGCCATGAAGAGGCATCCGTAGAAGTTGGAGCAGAAGCCAGTGCTGATGACAATGGCGAAGGGAATAGCCAGGACACCCACGGCGATGTCGGCCACCGCCAGCGACACCACGAAGAAGTTGGTGATGCTCTGCAGGTTACTGTTGAGGCACACGGCCCAGCAGACCAACACATTTCCCAGCACGGAGAACACAGCAATCAGCAGCTCCAGGACGATGTAGATGATATCGGCGGAGTCGTACAGCATGGTGAGACAAACAAAGAGGTCACTGATACGGAGGGAGGAAACCGCTCCTCAACGTCCATAGCTGCAGCCTGGCAACTGCTGAGCTCAGCCTCCTCACCTGCAGCTGCTCCAGAAACATCCACCAGATTCCTCAAAAAGCAACTCCTTCACACCTGCTCCGCTCAAACAGCTGGAAAAAAAGGTTTATTCAGCTTCAGCTCAACACTCTTGACTCCACGCACAGGATACAGTCACCTCCATCCTGTCCTTGTACAAAGCTCCTCTGCAGTCCTGTCCCCTCAGCGCCTTCCCTTCAGCGTTTTTTTTTTTTTTCCCACGAATTTCACAGAGTGGCTGAGATGATGCCAGCTACGCACAACACTGGAACGTTACATCGCTGGTGATAAAGAGGAGCAGAGGTGAAGAAGAGGAAATGCTTTACCAACAAACACTTAGATCAGATATGCTTATAAGCAAGGCAGAAAACAAGAAGTTAGACATGTTTCTAAAATTGAATGTTTGCCCTTGTGTAACATGTGAAAAGACTGACACATAATTATTGCATTTTCTTCAGTGAAGCTTTTTTTTTTTTTAAAAAATGTCTCACAAGAGGAAAAAACTTTGAATGGTCAAATTCAAAGATGTTCCAAAAAGCATCAGCAGCTTGGATGTAAAGATTGAAATAGTTAGTAAAACCCAAATCAGCCTTTAAAAACAGCCATGTCACTGTTAAGTTTGGTGGGACTTTTGGTTGCTGATGTCTTCTGTAAATACACCCTCTTGACCCTGCAGAAGAGCGGTGGGAGATCACTTTGTGTTGACTTCATCATTGTCATCATCTTTTGGTGAGACAGTAAACATACTCAGGAAATAGACAATGCTAAAGGGAAAAAAAGCCTCTGAATGGAAGTGAAAATCTTCACTCTCTCAGTTTTATTCTGCATTCTGGGACATTTTATCAAACTGCCAAGAATGGAATGTGAGGTTTTTGTGTAAAATAAAACAAAAAAAAATCCTCTTGATTCCTACTGGTAGACCTAAAGGTCATCAAAACTTATTGTTGCAGTGCGTCTGCGTCCGGCAAATGTTTCTATATTTGTGATTTTATCTGAGCTGTTTCACTGATATCAAAAATGTAATGCCGCATTTTTTCCGTACATCAATTAAGATTTTGCAAAATTTAAACAGGAATGTGCTGCCATCTTATTTACGTTGCCAGCATGGTTGGCCAAATCTGATCAAACTACATTAACACAGTCATGAGGAAGCAGATCAGATAAACTGAATCAAACAGTTAACAGTTTTTTTCTAATCTTGAACTTCATCAGTGTTTTCCAATATTACAGAGAAACACTTGCAAAGCTATGTCAGGGGCTTTAG